TGAATGACAGTACATCTGATAGCTTTTTATTAATTTTTTTACTTTGATGCAACAAATTAGTTGATTGTAACTGTGAATGAGTAGGAGCTCTGTGGGAAATTATTAAGGGTTTGATTGGTGATCTAAACAACAGAGATTACGAACCCTGTCCAATAATCAAGTCCTGAGCTGAAACATATATGCGGATAAGAATGATCTGAGAAGTTGGAGTGTTTAGTGAGAGCACTGAAACTTATCAAGTTGAAATAATATTGGAAGGAAGAAAGAAAACAGAACAACCAAACCAGACCCCAAGGGCTAAAGAACTTCGGTTAGAAACCAAGAGTTGAAACTCTTTCGTTCTTAAGAGCTACGAAAACAACAAACTAAGAAAATAGAAAACCAATTAAAGGTCAGCTCCTACATTTCAGAGCGGTGGATTCTTCTTATTATGCATCAAATGATTAAACAAAGTAAATAGAAAGAAGTAACCACTATAGCAATGCTCCTACATTTCGGAGCAGTGGTCTTGTTAAACAAATACTTACTGACTCTCGCATCATGATTCAAGAGATTCAATATTAAGCTAAAGGACTGTAGCTGAAAAGGTCATTAGTGAGACCGTTAGTTGGAAACTGTCCACAAAAGACAAGCACTCCGTTTTCGTGGCCATTCAGTGAGTAACTTGTTGATGCGCACGACCCTCGGGGACTTGGACTGTCCTTTTTGTCAAGCTTCTCCCACCTATTGGTCTCGGTATCCAGACAAAATGTCCCGCCCACCTTTTGATTCAGCTCCATAGGAGTAGGAGCAGACGGAGTCTCACCTCCAAAGACCAATATGTAGTTACGGAACACAGCACTAGCGAAAGCACTCCTCGCGCATGGCTTCTCACCAAAGGTTTGCACTTCTGTCCACGTTTCTTGGGTAGGATCAAAGCAGTGCACATCATCTAACTCGGATCCCTTGAATCCATACAGAACCCATAGCTTCCCGTTCACGACTTCGAGCCCGGCTCGTTCTCTTTCCGCCAAGGGATATCCCGGAGCTGAAAACGACCTCCACCTTCGGGTTTGGATGTTGTAAGCATCCAACGTATTGAGCGGACCCGTCGTACTCAGTCCACCAAAAACGTAGATCTTGCCCCCAATGGCTGCCATGGAGTGGAAGCTGCGAGGTCTTGGTCCGTCTCCGACCCGAGTTAGAAGCTTCCACTCGTTACTTACCGTGTCAAAAGAGTGGAAGCCATTGTAGTTGCCTGAATGGTCTTTCCCTCCAAACACATAGAGCGTCGATCCGACAGAGATCATAGAGGCTCCTAAGCACGAAAACTCCGGAACGTCTCCACTGGCCCGAGATCTCGACCAAATACGGGTGTGGTCGTCAAAGACGTACAAGTGTTTATCCATTGGTTCACCTGAATTGAGTTGGCCACCAAAGGAAAACATCTTATTTCCGACCATCGCTATGGCGTTTGAGCACCTTGGCTTTGGTATCTCTCCTTTTTGAGTCACCTTATAACAAAAGAGGACATGGTTATAAGTTGTAAGAGCAAGAGAGGTACAAACAAAGAAGAAACAGAGCCTCTGTTTCGATTCCTGCTTTCATTAGAGTAAATTTACCTTGCTCCATGTTCCAGACAAGTGGGGAATCGGTGGATAAGATACGCGGACGCCAAGAGAGTGTAGTCGCTTATCGCTCGACCGTCCGTGGAACCCTACAATTTTGTGGCCCTTGAGAGAAGACTTTTCACCATCCGGTTTCCCGATTCTGTTGCGGTAAACCTCCACGGAAACAAGATGATCGTTCTCATAAGCGATTCTAAACTGCAAAATTACCAAGTTACATAAATGATAAATGTCGGAAGAGAGAAAATATATACATTATATGTGTATAAACTGAAGAACAAACCTCCTCCTCTGTTTCAGTTACCATCCCATGATCCTCTCCGTCTACGTAATCAGACTGTAAGAAAGCCAACCCCCCAATCCGACCCCAACCTACTCGAATCTTCCTCACGCTGTCGTGTTTTCCGTCATCCCATTCTTGTCCTCCCACACCACCGATTGCGCCTAGTTTTCTTGGTGGCGCTGGACCGAAGTGCGCCTTTAGTTCAATAATCGCAGTAGTAGTAGCCCGTCCGTGGAAACCCACGATAGCTGGTGCGTCAGCTCGTACTCGTCTTCAGGTCAACTTTGAACGAAGGATCGACCGTCGCCGTGGAACCAAACATTCTAGATCTTCGCCCACGTGAAGTTACCAAGACAAGCTGCCTCAACTGAAGGTGTTGGCCGTATGTACACTCAACGGAAGTTATATATTCATCAGGGTAATTAAATCCAAACTGTAATAATCAAAACAGAGTGTGAAGTATTAATCAATTAGAGAAATGTTAAACTGTAATAATCAAAACAGAGTGTCAAGTACAGAGTGTGAACCTCTTCCCATGTCCCGTTGTAGACGCCACGTTGGAGAAGTTGCGTTCCACCGTCGGCCGTCTCGTACACCACTCCGATGTAGAGCACCTCCGTGCCGTCATCTCTAATCCTGACGCGGCTAATGCCTTGGAACCTTCCGTCGTTAAAATCAAACTCTGCACTTTTTCCGATGAACGATTCCATATTTTCTGACTTTTTTTGTTCTGCTTCAAATATTATGAGTGTGTGTGATGAATGAATGAGTGGTGCCTATGAGTATTTATATAGAGAGAAATTAAAGTGTGGTGTCTACATATGTTTTTTTATTTATTGTACATAAATATAAAATTTTATGGGAAAACCAAAATTTATTGCGTCAAGAAGTCACAACAGATTAGGTTACAAATGCTTTTGACTTTTGACGCAAGAAGAGTCACAAAAGATTCTTACACTAATTTCTTGCGTCAAAGCAGGTTTATCCAAAAAAAAAAAGAAAAGAAGCAGGTTTATCTGTGTCAGCTAGCTATACTTAGACATCTTTTTTCTTTGGGTTAATTATATTTACTACATCTAGTGTGATATCAATATTGTGCTTAACCATATCTAATTATTGTTGAGATCGTAACCTCGAATTCGCACCTCACTTTTTCAGTAATTACACTTTTATCCAAAGGAACTCTCGATCAAACTTTTCTTTTAAACAATGAAAATTTATACTAATAGGTAACTTCTACATATATATGTTATCAATATTATATGAACTAGATTCTCACCCGCACTATGTACGGGAACATTCGTTGTATATGATGTAAACTAAACTTAGCTTTTTTATTGTATTGGAATATTAATATCAACATAAAAATTTTGAATTAGGGATTTAGCCAAGGAGTATCAAAACAGGTAACTCGACCCGATCCAAACCCACATAAGTTTGAGATTTAATGGGGGTTTTACCCGGACTCATATGTTATATGAGTTGAATTTACATATCCAAATCTAAAAATATAAAAATCATTGACTTAATGGGTTATATGAGTTACTCACATATGAATTAAAATATAAGAATAAATTAATAGATAGATAAAAACAATCCATATTATTATAAATCGGACCAACGTTTTCAACTTTTCAAGT